TGAACAAATTCAAAATCGAACTTGCCTTTAAAGACTAGTACGATTTTGGACAGACGAAGGTAATGTAAGGTCCGAATAATAAACCTAGCCACATAAAATTTTATTGAACCCCGTACGCGATCTTATCAAAATCTTTAAACGGATGCTCATCCTTTTTCTGCCAGAAACTACTTCCTCCCTCACCGGATTCTCAAACGGAGTTCTGATGACAGTCATCACCGATAAGTACGATTGGTAATTGTAGTCATGTGATCCCTAATATAAAAAGGGGGTTGCCATCCGAAACGGGGGTCGGAGAAGTCTCTCACGAACTACACCCGATCCGATCACATCTCGATCAACCCAACTNCCGCACATCCTCACGGCATTATGCGAACTGTTCGGGATAATGAACGAGTGCCCGAATGCTCTGCAGAGGTTAATCTAGCTCGGCTAGCTAACGCATTGGACAATCTCAAGGTGCAAATGAATGGGTTAATTCGAGGCACAACCCGATCTCCTCTAATGCGACGTGGTCCTACAAGGAATTTATTATCATAATAACCCTTATAATAATACCCCTTCCCGGCAAGGTGTGCATCGTCCGATTGTCCCTTATCATCCCTCCGCGCGATTGAACTCTCAGACCCACCAAAATCAGCTACAGAATTGGAACTCACCTGTCTGTCGAAATAACAACGGCCCTTACTGGTCAATGCCTCCGAGAAACGAGTCACCCTCGAGACGTGACGTCGGAAATGAACGTAGTCGGGTCCGATTTAAATCCCCTTTCCCGAGAAACCTCAGCATAGGTGGAAAAAGCAGGTACGAAGCGTCGATGGTCGTCGCACTCGACATAGAGTATGCCAAGCCGCTCTAACACCTTATCACAGGGTTAGACATAAAAGGGATTCTTACATATCACCTAAGCTGCCGCCGGATAATCCTTCCAACATGAGGAAGCAAGACCAATCCTTTTCCTTCCAATCTACTAATTGTACAAGTAACCAAGGCGAAGCCATTTTCGAATGTATTATAGGAGGGAACCCAGCCACAGTACAAGTGGACACGGGAGCTAAGGTGCCCTTGCTGTCTAAAGCATTTGCGAGTAACTTGCAAGAGTGAGTTAACATCGAGTATGATAGGGAAACTGATCTGAGAAGCGCTACTGGGCATCCTATACAAATCTATGGTATTATAACCCCCTCTTTCAGGTTCGGGAACCCGCAGTTCCCTTTTTCATGTTGCTTAGTTGATATTGATATTACCTACCCTTGTGATGGTATTATTGGTAGAGATATGATTATGGAAAGAGGAATGATTATTGATTTACGGGGTGGAGGATTAACTATTCCTCCCCAAACACTGGTTCCGTTTTTACGCTCAGCACCTACTAAACAGTTAACGGACAAGGAAACCACTAAGGTAAATAAAGAGCACTTTTTAACTGAAGCACTCCGCGAAAAAGAGGGCTCCGATTTACCAAACAAAATGGCCGAAGGAAAGGAAGTAGTGTTAGTGGAAACCTGTCGGCTCCCTCCCATGACCGATAATATAGTGACTGCTACAATTGTAGGAGTCAAGAGTAGTAGCAATACTCTTGGAGTAATCGAGACAATTCCCTTCCTTCAGGAGGGGATAACTGGGGTAAATGTGCTAGTTACACCCAATAAACGGGGACAAGTCCCCATATGTCTGTGTAATACTACACGCACAACGATAAAATTGATAAAGAGAACTAAAGTCGGTATATTTTTGGAGGCCAGCGAAGATACTGATCCCGTAAATCTTGTTAACCAAGGAGCCACTGCATCCTTATTGAAAACGGAAGTTGGTCAGCTCTTTGATTGGACCAACATTCCAGAAGACGAGAAACAGTCTCTTTTGGCCCTATTGTATCAATATCGACATGTCTTTGCCGTGAATGATTATGATCTACGCTATTGTGACATCGTACAACATACGATTGACACAGGAAATGCTGCGCCTATTTACTCCCCCCTACAAGATTCCATATGCTCAACGACACCAATTAAACGAAATCATTGACGGCCTATTAGCCCATAATATTATCGAGCATTCTACATCACCTTCGAGTTCCCCAGCACTTCTTGTCAAAAAAAAACTGGGTGGACTCCGTCTTGTTATTGACTATCGTAAACTAAATAAACTCACGAAAATAGACCCTTATCCACTCCATCTGGTGCAGGAGTCCTTTAGTTTGATGGGACAAGCCAAATATTTTTCCTCGATGGACACCGTTTTTGGATTTTGGCAACTGAGTGTTTGCGATAAGGAGAAGACAGCCTTCTCTACCTCTGATGGGCACTATCAATAAAACAGCTGTCCATGGGGCTCCGAAATAGCCCTGCAGCCTTTGAACGAACGATGGACTTCGTATTACATGGACTAAAGGGAAAGACATGCCTCGTATACATGGACAACATCCTTACTTTCAGTCCCAACTTTCCTAGTCATCTGAAACGACTAGAACAGGACTTCTAAAGATTAGGCGATGTGGAAATCAAATTGAAGCCCCGGAAATGCCACTTCCTTCAGCGCCAGATAAAATTCTTGGGTCACGAGATTTCCGAAAGGGGCATAAAACCTGACTCTGACAAAATTTCTTGCGTCCTAAACTTTCCGCGTCCTGAAAATGAGCGAGACATCCGATCATTCCTAGGTTTAACAGGTCATTACCGACAACATATAGACTCCTATGCAAAAATAGCAAAGCCATTAACAGACTTGTTAAGAAAGGATGTATCTTTTGAATGGGAACTGAATCAGCAAGAGAGTTTCGAGACATTAAAGAAAATTTTGACCTCAGCGCCAGTATTAAAATTGCCCGATTTTGAAAAACCCATTTTATTAGCTACTGATGCCTCTAATATTGCTCTAGGAGCCATTTTGTCTCAAGAAGAAAACGGTAAAGAAAAGGCGATTGCATATGCAAGTCGCTTATTACGAAAGCCAGAGGTAAATTATAGTGCCACTGAAAAAGGATGTTTGGCAACAGTGTGGGCTGTACGATATTTTAAACCCTATTTGTATGGGCGGCATTTTACTATAATCACTGAACATCGACCCCTCCGCTGGTTACTCGATTGCAAAGATTCTACTACTAATTCCAGATTATCTCGATAGATTATATTTTTGCAAGAATTCGACTTTGATGTTGTTCATAAAACGGGAAATGCTCATAAAAACGCTGATGCCCTTAGTCGCATCCCTATCCGGCAAATAAAGGAAGTGGATCCTATATTCTCGGTAACCCAAATAGCAACTTCCCAGCTGCAAGATGAGCGTTGGGGACCTATTATCCAGACGCTACGCGATGGAGTAACCTCAGGAATTTATCATAATCTCAATTTAGAAGAATTTTACATCAATGACGAAGGTGCACTCTTTCCTAAAGGAACTAAAAGGCCGATAGAAACCGAGTGATGGGAACAAATCGTTGTTCCCTCAGCCCTAAAGGAATATATTCTATATACCTTTCACGATAATCCTTTAGCGGGACATCTGGGAGAGACTAAAATGCTAACTAAAATATCCAAATCGTTTTATTGGCCAGAGATGAGAAAGGAAATAAGAAATTATTGGCAAAGTTCTCAAAGCTGTGCTAAACATCGTCGACGTGGACACCGTGCACAGGCAGAACTGCAGCTGTTTTCACCTCTCTCTCATGTGTTTGAACGTGCCGCTATGGACACCGTTGGACCGCTACCAATGACAACTAACGGAAATAAATATATTCTGGTTTTCGTCGACCATTTCAGTCGATACGCAGAGGCTGTTCCGCTTCCGGATGTTAATAGCAAGACGATTGCGAAAGCATTCGTTACTCACATAATATTGCGACATTCTACTCCAACTCAACTGTTAACAGATAGAGGCCCGAATTTAATCTCGCAGATGTTTCTCGAGGTATGCAACTTATTACATATAAAAAGACTTCTCACTACCGCATATCATCCAGCCAGTGATGGCGTGGTGGAGCGATTTAATAAAACATTAATCGACATTTTATCTCACTATGTCGCCAAGGATCAACTCGACTGGGATGACTGGATACCATACGCTTTATTTGCCTATAATACGTCCATTCACGTCTCTACAGACGAAAGTCCTTTTCTCCTTCTATACGGAAGAGACCCCACTTACCCTTTTGATTTAGTCACTAGTCCTGCAAAAGTGTCTTATGACTTAGAAAATAATTTTGCCTCCGAACTACAACAACGAATGAAGAACGCTCACGAAACGGCGCAATGTTATTCGGAACAAGCGGCCGACGTAAGACGAGAACGTCACCGCCGACAGAATACTCCTCCTCAATACAGAATAGGAGATAGAGTATTACTAAAGAAAGTCATCACCCCGAGGGGATTAAAACGAAAACTAGCTCCACGGTGGTCAGGACCTTATCGTATCATTGAAATCCTCGGGCCTGTTAACTTCACAATTGAACATATCCAAACAAAAAGGAAGCTACATGTACATGCTGACCGTATTAAGCCGACTGTAGCTAGAAGGGAGTTCCTTCTGAATGACGATCCGACTGCCAATGTTCCCAACATACCAAAGGAATCCGATCAACAAACCTCTAGTCACCAACAACCGGTACTTATCGATCCTTGGGATGAGTTTATTCTAAACTCTATACCTGTCACATCACCTGAAATAGATAGCGATCATGAGAGTGAAAAAGCTGAAGAGGAAAGAGACTCCGCCGATTCCGAAACGAAGGCGGAAACCGAAATTACGCCTCCTTATGCCCTTCGGAGTCGCGGTCCAGTTGCTGAACAATCTTGGGTTATGCCTCGGCCCCGTCGAGTCCGTAGTCGTATTCCCCGATTTATCTCACCTGTTCCTAGCCGACCCTCTTCGCCCGAACTCAGCGAGGAATAGAAAAAAAAACACAGGAGAGATTGATCTCTCTTAACTTTATTTAGTTAATGTTATTCAGTACATAATAATTAACGTTCCTTATATATATTTCTTCTTACTTTCAGAGAATCATGGCTTCTATAACAATGGATAAATCCTTAACCAGTTTGCTCAGCTGTCCCATTTGTTTAGAGGTTTTGAGGCCGCCAGTATATCAATGTACTAACGGTCATATTGTATGCTCGCAATGTAGGCCACGAATAACACAATGCCACACGTGCCGAGAGGCTATGGGGCATATCCGTAGCCTCGTCGCCGAACAAATCGCCGCCTCCCTACGGTTACCCTGCATGCACCAAGCTCAGGGATGCCCCGAATACCTCACAACAGAAGATCGAGAGTTTCATGAACGGCAGTGTCCTTTCACCCCTTTTCCATGTCCCCTTAGGGACTTAAATTGTCTGTGGGAAGGAGCGCGATCCCTTATCTCGCCTCATCTGCAGCAAGCTCATCCACAGATAACCAAATATAATCGATCTTCTATCCTTTTCCTTGGTCTTCATGCAGAAGGACCTAGTCCTCTAATATGGGCTACCCTCTTAGCCTGTTATGGACACGAATTCCTCATCCTCGTCACAAAGTCCCAGTCCGAAACTCCCCACTTCTCTATCAAAGTCTATATCTTAACCAAACCACCCTCTCTGTCCTCTTTTACTTATACGGTTAACTTGAAGCGGGGACCTCACTCCCTTCAATGGAACTCTACTCATATTCCTCTCTGGGGAGCTATCGACACCTATGACCTCTATTCTCCATTAGAACTTTCTGCCGAATCTATTTACTCTTTCGGTGCTTTCCATAATTTTAAGTTCATTATTACTATTAATGTAAATGATACTGATTAATTGTACCATCCTAATATTTCCAACCTGTTTTCCAGCCATGGAAAATACTGATAATCAGTGGTGGGACTCTTTTGCTTCTACTCCTTCCTCCCCACCTTCAGAACAAAAGTATATCAAGGGACCATCCCTAGAAGCTGCTATTAACTTCAACCGGTCTCAGTACCGACATAAAAATACCCCTGCCACACTAGTACTTCCTGTCAATTATGAATGTCCTCCACATTTGGAGACAGCCTACGTAGAGGAGCTGGCACGTATCGAGGCTTACTACAATCCCCCAGACGGTACCTCTTCTGTTACGGCCTCACGAACTCCATTGTTCCCTACTTCGCAGCAACCAGAACGTTCTCGCCAGAATCAAGCCACACGGGGACGAAAACAATCTCGACACTAGGGCGGCCGAAATCCTGCATAACGAAATCAACTATTAACTCAATTTGTGTATTTATCCCTCGCTACTATATGTATATAATTAAGCATATAATAAAACAAGAGAAATTTTACCTAATAAAATTTTTATATTTTATCCCCGGGAATCTAATTACTAGTCATGTAAACCTTTTTTTTTACACTCGTCAATTCCCTTAATATACTAAAAATATTTAATATCTCCCATATTCCAGAGAGAAACCGCCGTCGCCTCTCCCGAAAACAACCATCATAATGATCTATCTTCAACTTTATGTCCTATTCTGGAGCATCAGCTATACCACCCTAACAACTTCCTCTGAATTAAAAAAGGGCGTGGTCTTCCTACATCAAGGAAATTTCCTAATGACAGCAAGCCATTGGACCCTCGTAAATGATTTTACCTTCGAACATTTAGACCGACAAATTCAATTCATTTCCCAGTCTTTAGATTATTTAAATATCCTCATCGAACAACGAGCACTTCGCCCCCTCGAGACCAACTCTACAGATCAACCTCTTCCTTCTAAGGGTTTGGAACTAATTAAAACCTCATTCCTTAATTATCAACGAGAATATGGAGAACTTCGCACCCTAATCACCCTTAATCCTCCTCAACGGGAAAAACGAGGACTCCTCAACATAGGAGGACAAGCTCTTAAATTCCTTTTCGGCACCGCTACTTCCGAAGAAGTAGAAGCCTTACATATAGAAATTGAAAACCTTACCCAACGTAGCGAAGGAATAATTCATTTACTACAATCTCAGACTACCTTGCTAAATAATACGTTAAACATAAGTAAACTTAATCGACACCAAATTTACGTACTGTTCAAACGGGTCGAGAATTTCGGCGAACTAATAAATATATATCGCTCTGATCTAGCTTACGAAATTATCTTAAGAACCATAGAGTTCTCCGTCCAGGAATTACACTTCCAATTAATCGAACTGAGAGAAGCGATAGACGTTTTGGAACAAGGCCATCTGAGCACCTACTTCATTCCCCGAGATATCATGCTCCGAACCTTGCGGGACATTCAAACTCAACTCCCAGACGGCTATTCGATGATTGAACCTATCCAGCCAGATACATTATTTAAATACTACCAATGGATTACCACCATAACTATAGCCTTACCTAGAAAATTTAGAATCTTTGCCAAGATCCCTTTAATCACTCCAAGTGGATATTTTGATCTATATGAAATACTTAAATTCCCAACATACATCCCAACCTTAGATACTTTCATTCAATTCCGTACTACCTATCCAGTAATTGCCCTATCAATGGACCGACAATCGTATATGCTGTTGCAGCGGGATGACCTAACTTCTTGTCAAACGGCACATTTCGCTATGTGCTCCTTGGATGTTCCCATCCAACGACCTCCCCAACAAAGTTGTGAATACTCATTATTTAACGGAATTGAGACCCAAGTCAAGATACTCTGCACTCGACAAATCATCCCAACATATAAACCGATCTTTAAACGACTCGATCGAAACGGAGCCTGGATTTATTCCACTCCAGAACCTCTCACCGTAACTATTAAATGTCCTACGAGAAGCCAACGACCAGCTAACCACCAAAGAGTTTTTGCTACTACCTATAAAATAA